AGCAATCAAAAACTATTACGTAACAAAAGTTGACATTACTTACCCTAATCACCTATATTCTGGGATGACGTTAAAACTAATACTTGTTTAAAGTCGAATTCTGTGTCAAGATGTAAACACAGCCTTAACCACGTACTTTGATCCACAAATACTTCACACTATAACAAAAATACAAACAGAGAAATACTTATCTGGCTATATATTCTGATAAGATTGTTTCTGGCATATATCGGTGGTGAAAGGGCGCGTGTGGTGCAGAGGTCACAGGCGCCCTGCAACACACACGTGGAATCGATCCCTGCGCCCATGGCCCACCAAGCCTTCCATCCCTCCGGGGTCGGCAAATTGGTACCAAACTTGTCTGATAAGATAGCAGCACTGGCTCGATGCATCGGCAGGCTATCGCGAGTTATTGGAAAGGCCAGATATGCATTCAGTCACCTCCAACAATACTTAATGAAGTCGAATGCATGGCGCATCACTTAGTGAGTGATTAATACAAAGAGCTTTATTCTTCATTCCTCCCAATCCAGCAATTGCTCTCCGTTCCATAAACTTCTCGTGAGATGAGCGATTAGAAAAATCAGCAATATTGTTAATTATAAAAAATTATACCGATGGCTATGCTATTATGTTTTACAATTGTTCTTATTTAGCTGACACGATCATACATAAATGTTCTCCAGTTCTCAATGACCAACGCCTTCTTCAGCATCGTTTCTTCGATGTCCACTTTTCGGGTCGTGAAACCACCCGTACATGGTTGAAATAGGAAAGGAGCCAACAATTTCGCGTCATCTCACCAAAAACACTGCGTAAACGCAAAATAACACGCTTACTAAATCCAAGATATAAGTGAAATCCGATCTTACAATTACCGATGGTAATTTAATTCACTGACCAGTTTTATTAGCTAGTTGAATCACATCAAACGACGAAGGATACTTGGCTACTTGGACGGTCCATCCTTACGAGCTGTGTGGACCATAGCACATATGCTATTCGTTCCTTTCTCTCGCAATCCTAGTCCATGGTGCTGGTCAAGGTTCGAGCATGGTAGCGCTTCCGACTCTCATGTCGTGATCTCTAAAACAACTGCAGCTGCAGGTACAGCTGATTAAGTTCGTTTACGAACACGACCGCCTAACGTGTAGGTAGTCGTCCTGGGGGACGTTTGCATACTCTTGGACTCCGCTCTACTGTTCTTTTCGTCCATTTGTCGCCTGTTGTTCTCATTATGTGACCGGCCCATCTATGTTTCGCTACCGATGTATATTCGCCTGAATCTCGAAGATGTGACAGATTTCGAAGATCAGAGCTTCGTATTTCGGCTAGATATTGAGAGTGCCGGTTATATTTCAGAAGACATCGCTCACACGCTCTGTGAGCAGTGCGAAGCAATCTTGACGTAGTCTAAGTATCAACAAACATCCCTGCAACATAACAGAGCGCTGGGGAGACCGTAAAATCGAAGAGATGAGCGCGGATTTCCGGGTCCTTCAGTTGGTCGGTGGTTTCTTTGAGAGACCCAAATGTGGTCCAAGCCTCTCTCCCTTCTTCTATCTAGTTCCTCCTTCATGCTGTTTTCTATGTTCATTGGTCGCCCAAGATAAACGTACGAAGTGGTCTCAGCAATGAGAGAGCCATCCAATTCAATTTTTTCGCCTTCGCACCATGGCTTTTTCATGAACTAAGTCTCCTTTCGATTTGTGCGAAGTTCGATCTTTTTCCCCGTTTCGTTGAGCTCGCTGATCGTCACTTCTGCTTCGCTAGTACTTCTTGAGAAGATGACAATGTCGTCGGCAAAACGAAAGTTTGATAGGAATTTTCCATCAATACATATGCTTTTCTCATCCCAATCGAGTGACATCATTATCCACTGCAGTGCAGCACTGAACAGCTTTGGCGATGTTGTGTCGCGCTGTCGAACCCCTTTTCCTATAGGTATGGTAAGAGGTCGATGGAAAAGCTGCATTTTCGTAGTGCAATTCCGATAACAATCGGACGGAGTCCTTATGTAGGTCGGGTCCACTCCTTGGTCGACGAGTGCTGATAGGATTGCATTCGTTTCGACACTGTCAAACGGTTTTCATAGTCGACAAAGGGTTAGGACTAGAGGAAAGTGGTATTCCCAACAAACTTCGATGACCCTGGACACGGCTTGGATGTGGTCGTGCAGCAAAATCCTTTTCGAAACCCTGCAAGTCATACAATGTCCTTGATATGCGCGAGAGGACAATCTTCGTGAAGAGCTTGTAGAATACACTTAACAAGCATATGGGACGATAGTTACGAAGATCCCTGCGGTCTGCTTTCATGGGCAGGATGACCGTGCGCGACGTCCTCCACTTGACTGGGATTTTTTCCTTTTGAAGGTAACCTGTCATATGATCCGCGAGAAGTATATGTAAATTGTCGCTTCCAGCTCTAAGGAAATCGGCGGTGACATTGTCTGGTCCTACAGCAGTGCCTTTTTTCATGCTTTTTATCACAACTCGAACCTCCGACGGAAGAATTCCAGGTGGTTTTTCTCCAGCGGGGATATTAGGGCCCGGGACGGGGATTGTGGAACGAAAAAGGTTGGTGTAGAATGTTTCCGCTATTAATTCCATATCATGGTGGAAAGTTTTGACGATCCAATCTTCGTTCATCAGGGCTGACAGCAGAACATTATAATCACACAAGTCCCGACAGCATTTTTTCAAACTGCTTCTTTTCTCTGCTACTTCCGGTAGTTTCTTCTGCTTATACCGTTGTACATCTTCCTGCAAAGCTCTTTTGCGGCTGGCATTTATTACTAGCCATGTTAAACGTGTTACAGTAGGATCAAGCTCCAGATCCCTTCTCTTTTCGAGGAATTCCTTAGTGGTGATGGAGATGCAATCCGATCTTTTTGCTTGAGGAACTGAGACGAATTCGGCACAGCTTTTCAGTCCTTCGACAAGCGGCTCGTAGTTATCGGTCGGTTCTTCTCTGCCAGTCACGTTTGGACAGGACTTCGTTTAGAATGTTCTCGTTGTATACGGCTAGACTTTTTTCTCGTGGCCGATGAAGAGAGCTCTTTTCCAGCTTGCCGCTGAATCGAATTTTCGCTCGAAGAAGGCGGTAATCGGAACCAGTACAGAATGAAGGAGCTACCGGTATGTCAAGCAGGCACCATCTTCTGTTTGTCAGAATATAGGCGATCTCCGCATGAGTCATGCCGTTGGGAGACTCCCATGTCCAGCGGCGGCTTTCTTTCTTCTGGAAAAACGAGTTTCCATGGAAGAGACGTACTGCTGATAGGAGTCGTGCGAGACGGTCCCCATTCCCATTTCTTTCTCCTAATAAAAAATTTCCGATCCTGTATTCGCTCTCGTTGGGCTTTCCTATTCTGGTCTTGAAGTCTCCAACAACAAATTTATGATATGCTTTATCATTGCGGATAGCTTCCTCCGATAGTAGAACGCATTTAATTCGTGCTCATCAGCTGCGTCGGTCCGTGAGTAGCATTTGATGATAGTGGTCTTCAAATGATGCGACAGTTGAAGACGGAGGACAGCTATGCGAGGGGAAAGGATCACGCATGAGTCGACGAGATGGACAATGGACGGGTAGGCGACAAAGCCTACGCCACCGACATTTCGTGACGGGACCTTTTCTCCATGGATCACAAGGGTCCTGTTGTTTAGTTGGCGTATGTCGGTCTTCTTGACTTTTGCTTCTTGTAATGCGATCACATGAAATTTAATGCGATCTGTGGCTACAAGATGGGCTTGAAGATCGGCGTCTGTGGAGAGTGTTCTGGCATTATACGTGCATAGTAAGAAACAATGTCCATGGCGTGCCGTGCGTGTGTTCATCAGATCCGGTTCCAATGAGGTCCTGCGTAACCCGAGATTTTCTAACCTCTCACCGGTTGTCTCACAGCTCGACGTCACAGACGGGAGCACCCGGTGTGCGGGGTACTGAGACTGGTCTATTGCTGGTGGTGCAACTTAGTCCTCTCTGGAGTTCTGACGTAACCTTGGGAGGGCGTATTCAGGTTTTCACCACGATGTGGATCAGAGGGGGACGATGTTTTCGACGACAAACTACGAAGGATAGGTAAGCGTAAATAGGATCAACCGACGGATCTCCATGGCTTTTAAATTTTCGCTTTTTTGTACACATACAATGAAGGATGTCAGGATGTACAATGAAGGATAAGAAGGATGTCAACATGATCAAGCATTTAGACGTCGTGAGAAAGACCGAATTTTCTATTTATGAGCGCCGAAAAAATCGTGGAATTCGGTAAGCATTCAGCTCATTCAAAATGCTTTTGTCTGTATATTAAAACGTTCTCATTGGAAGGCAACATTCTGAAACATTGTGTCAAACCCCATGAGTTACCTACAAGAACTAGACAAGTCAGCGTTCGTCCAGAAAAAGCGAAGTACCCATCGCTGGATAACTAGTGAAATTGTCCCAATAGATCCTCAAGCAGTGAACTTTGCACTTCTTAGTAATTTTCATTAGTTTGTGGCTTCCATTCTTTTCTTTTTATAAAAAAGGCGCGCGTAGCGCAGTGGTTGGAGGCGCCCTGCAATACACATGGGGTCGATTTTCGCGCCCAGAGCCCACCAAGCTTTCCGTTTCTTCTGGTCAGCAAATTGGTACACTAGACTTGTCTGGGAGGACAGCAGCGCTGGCTCGATCCATCGGTAGGCCATCGTGAGTCATTGTAAAGGCCGGATATGATGCACTCAGACACCCCCGATGATTCTTAATAAAGTCGAATACATGGCGCATCCTCAAGGGATTGATCAACGCCAACAGCTTTATCTTTTTTTTTTATCCTTTTATGCCTCTCGTTCACATTAATGATTATTGCAAGACTGTAAACACACATACACCAGGAAATACTTGTTGATACAGCGGCTAACTAACTTTCAATCAATAGCATATCTCCTTTGTATACCAAGCAGCGTCAACAGACGTTAGAAAAGTCGATACCACAGCTCTATTCTTCGCAATTTTCAAAATACTTTCAAAAAAACAGAAAAAGAAACAAATAAGCTGGAAAGTAACACTTGAACGGTGGAACAGGAACAACCTGGTAAAAGATGCGCAGAATAATCGGAGAAAGTGGTGTTCCATGTTTTACCACGACTTTTTGTATCGAACATGCTGATCTAAAGCAAATCACACCTAGTTCATATAACAGCTCTCTAACAAACGATAACAATGAAAAACAAAAGACAGAAGAACGGAAGCGATCGCAGTGGTACTCACCCGATACTCAGTCTTTCCAACGAAAATGCCATTATGATTGTTAGCGGGACAAACACGATCCGTTGCAGATGACATCGTTTCCACCTACTCATGCACACTGAATTCAAAAAACTTGGGTTAAAGCATAAAATGTTACCTTCGCACCAGTAAGAGGATTGATTTCGAGCCACACGTCCTTCTTGCTACCTAAACTGTCAATTTCTTTTAACGTATGAGCAACGACAACGTGAGAAACAATTAAAGTTTTTGACGAGTCGCACTCTTCACTGCAAAGATATCTGCAAAATTCCGGACCGTAGGTGCCTGCGATGGGAATCAAACATGCTATTACCCTTTCTAGGGGCTAAAGCGTTTACTACCACACAATGCGGGTACTTCGTTTCGTCTTTCTCTCAGCTAGTTTTCTACTTACCAGTGCCACCAGCAACCATCCATCAACGGGACTGATCTGGGAAGCAAAATAAGGACCCGCTAGATGTGGTGGTAAACGGATTAGCTCTCGGAAATGGTAATAGAGTGTTCGCAAGACCCACCACCAAAGACACCTGTGGTTCGGAGTCTTGCAAATATCTCAGCAACACCAACACTTAATTCATTTTGGCACACTGTTTAAACGATAACTAAGAAAGTTCAAGCGCTGACCAGCATACAACACCCCGTCGCTGCTCCTTAGAGGCGATGCGTGCACTAGTGCAGGAATGCTGAGTGGCAGTCTTTTCAATATACCTTCTTTTAGAGTGTAAAGCGAGCCATCTCGTGGATTCGGAAGGAATGTAAATCCTTGTTTAACGACGGTAGGGGAACGAAGGACCGGTTCTGAACTACGAGAGAATCTTAACTACAGAGGTAAAGTGCAGGTGAGTGGACACCTGATACTAACAAAACTGGAACTAAGAAAAACTTTAAAACTCTAAATGTTTGGCGCACCGCCTTGTAATGTCCACTTAGTTTCGCCACTTTCCGTATCCAAGGCGCTTAGCTGGCCATCGATTGTGCTCACAAGAACAGTTCCAAGAGAAAACCCATTACGGGGTATAACGTCCTAAAGCAACGCGTATTGAATGTACTTCCACTACGGTAAGCCTCAATAGCAAATAACTGGAAATAACTTACATTGATGTCACCTGGCAATCCACAACCAAGCCAAGATAGAATAAGAATAAGAAAGGGTCTGAGCATCACTGGGTGGAATGCCCGGTCAATTGTGATGACGACGGCCCTCGAATCGAAATATCTGGAATAAGTACAACCTGGACTCTAACTTCATCTAGATCTATCGGAATCCGCGTCAGTGGCACTTTATGTATACGGATATCTCCACACACAAAGTGCTGTCCGCCATCTGAAGTGCAAACCAGGACAACCGGATGAACATTGAAGAGTGGTAGCACCGTAGCAACCGCGATTTGAACCTGCACAACAGAATCCTCGACGCAATTCTGCACACATTTGCGATGAAGGTTTCTTGATTGATTTAAAATGTAAGTGTTGTAAGTGATACCTCTAAGTAAAAAGTTAGGAATAAGAAGTCGTCAGTAAGTTTTCTCTCAGCCGGATAGCAGGCCGAGTACTAATAAAGTACTAATAGGCGTCGTACGAAGCATAGAAGGATAAAGGACAAACTCTTGGTGTTGATCAATCCCTGAGGGATGCGCCGTGTAATCGATTTCATTAAGCATCGTTGGTGGTGGCTGAATGCATATCTTGCCTTTACAATGACTCGCGGTGGCTCGCCGATGTGTCGAGTCATTGCTGATATCCAAGTCTGCTACCAGTTTGCCGATCCCGGAGGGATGAGTTTGGTGTGCTTGGGCTGCGGGGATGGATCCCATGTGTATTGTAAAGCGCTTCCCACCACTGCTCAACATGCTCCCTTGTAACTGTGCTTAAGACCAGAAATCGACTACTACATGTAGTTCCCTGTGACAAATCGAAAATCTAATCAGATGCTGAGCCTCCCCTACTTGTGTGTTCACATTCGAGAGTCGAGAGCTAGGTCTAAGTGAGGTAGCCTGCCTTACAGGATCATCGGTTTGAGTGGGTGCAACTGCGCGTATTCGGATTGTTGCGCACGCTGTACGGTGGCGGACCGAGATGGGACAGTGGATCGTGGTCTTCGTGTAGGCTTCATTCCTTTGACAGTCCCTTCAGGATCACAACCCGTAAACTCCTCTAGTATTCGCCTGTTCTCGAAAAACCCAGCATGTCGGTAACACGGAAAATTAGGCTTGGTCGTGAAGGAGTTAACCCTCCTTTTTTCTCTTTGCCCCACCGATGCTGAACGCAACATCTGCATTATACAGGCTATCGATTGATTGCCAAAAGTTCGAAAAATGCTCTGCATTGCGAAAGAAATCACAAAGAACATGCGCATCGAAGTCGTCAATGTGTGCGGTCCGTAGATTCCGGCAGCGTACGTGTTGAAATCAACGCGCATGTGGCAAAAGGGTTAAACAGTATGGCGTTCGTGGACGGATCAGGTCAAGCCAATAAAAGCAGGTCACATACTATTATGCAGTACTGAAATAGACGTTTTCCAAAAATCTGCTACAAGAAACACCAGGACCAGGCATATTCTGTTGGTTATCATACTTAGTTGGACACTTGAACGGCGCGCCTTTACGAGTTGTGCGGACCCCGGAACATTTTCCATTCGTTGCTTTTCGATTTGATTGGTCACCTCGCACGGAAACTGGCAAATTCAGCAAGTAGGTGACGTAGCAGACTCGTGGAAGAAACCCGTAATGAACACTGCCAATGGATAACCTGCAGGAACAGTGAACCCTCTTGTCGAGAAATCGAGTCAGCGCTTGCCAGCAAAAGTGATTCTCTCATTGATATTCCACACGTGCACTGTTCGACTAGCTAAAGCTCAACAGGAGAACTCGACGAAATCGGATGTGTAGCACATCTTTCAGGGACTGATCAACGGCTGGAACTGTGTCCTTCGTGCTTTTACTCTCCCTCTCGTAGTGCCTGTTGTACGTCTTTGGTGTACGTTTCTAAGAATTTCAACAAAATATGTCGCTATCTTCACTGTTTGTCTAAAACCCCTGTACCATATCGCCTACGTACCCACCAGGAGAAGAGCATTCGTTGTGGGTATTTCGATCTACCAGTGAGCTTGATCTTTGAGTTTCCAACTGAAAACGCTTGATTTGAATCGTTAGAGAACTTCCAGAGGACTCACTACTCAGTTTATGCGACTTCCCATTTATGCTTACTTCACAATTTCACGAAGTTTCCAACTGTTGGCACCTGTTTTAACTACCCTACCCTCTTCCCTTCCAACATTTTCGTTTTCGCTTTCTATTTTCTTACAGTAGGTTCAACCACAGAAAACAAAAGAAGCTAATGAGCACTGAGGGATGGCGAACACTGTTGTGCAACGTTACTACTTACTTTGATACTTGGCTGGCCCGTCTTCGGTAGTTGTGCGAGCCCCAGTATAATCTCCATTTTCTTAGGGTTTTGCTCTCCTAGCCATAGTGGTTAGCTGGAGTTCCGAGATCAGCCAAGCCAGAGTCTGCCACAGGTCGTCGCCACCACATGCAGTCGCAGCCCCTCTGGATCACAGGGAGGTTTGTCACCATACGGCTAGTTTAATACGACGGTAGTGAATCCAGGTATTGGTTTACTCTTCGCTGGGCTTCGTGATAGAAACGCCCGACTCATTCTCAGCTTGAGAGACTCTGCTGGGGAATGAATCACCTTGCAATACATCGCAAACGACACCCAGGAACACCTCCCAGCCACGATGAGGCGGGAAACCGTTGAGAGGGTTGTGCAACATTACACAACGTTTATACTAGTTACTAACTACGAACAATACTATCGTCCTTTCTAAACCAGTGGATGATGAGCATGTCACACCCCCACTACCAGTAAAGAAGTGACTAGATTTCGACTTACTGAAAACTTGTCCTGTCTATCGCACCCGTGATAAGTAATGCCCTCCTAGTCTTCGTCACATTTTCCACCTCACCCAGGTATATAGGCACTAAATTGCGAAAACACTCTAATATTACCATGTGGGCTTTTCTGGAGATGGTGCATGAAAACATCCTCCCACACCGCTTCCACCGCTCTTAGGAAATCGTTAAAACATCCCTCACGATAAAGAGACGTACGAAGCTGATTCATAGGCGATTCGAATGACTCCCACTCCCGTTCAATCGCAGTTCCTACAAGCCGCGTTCCTCCTCACATTTATTGCGGTCGCTTTCTTGCGAGCCACGTGGAGTTCCATGCGCTTCCGAGTCGCTACGTTGCTCCATTTGCAGTCTCCTTGGAATTCGTTGTGGGACCAGATGCATGCGGCTCATTGATTGCAATGTTTCGCACTACAACTGTTGAACTGTCGCATTCCAGAATACATTGTCTGTCTTGTTTCTTTTGGTCTGGTGAATTTCATGAGTTCTATTGTGTTTTTGATCGTCGTGCTTCACCTCAATGTTGTGTTTCTCGAGCCCACTCAGTACAAATACTTTTCGCTACTGCCTGTGACTGGTAATGAGTCCATATGCAGCGTAATAGCTTTATTTCTTATGCCGCGTGAAGTAAGCAAAGGTTTAGTTGAAGAGGAGTGTTTTCATGTTTCTGCTAGATAAGTGGAGTTTAGTTATGCTGATCCTTCCAACGCTTTACCACCTCATCGTGGCTAGGTGTTCCTGGATGTCGGACTGCGATGTGCAGCGGAGGATTCATCCCCTGGCAGTGTCTCACAAGCTGAGAAGGAGCCCGGCGTTTCCATCAGAAAACCTAGCTAAGAGTAAACCAATACCAGGATCCACAACCGTCCTGATATCAAAGTCGCATGGTGGCAAATCCCCTTCTGATCCACAAGGGGTGTGCCGCTAGTGGTGGTGAATCCTGGGGCAGACTTTGGCCAGGTTGACCTCGGGATTCCAGGGAATCATAGTGGCTTAACCATAAATCTCCGAAGAATGGAGATTATGCTGAGGTCCGCACAACCAGTGAGGCCGAGCCGTTCAACTGTCAAGTATCAAGTAAGTTATGCTGATTTTTTGTAAACAGAAGAGAATATTGGATGATGACAACTCTACCACTGCACTCGGGCTAAATATTATCTGAGCAGTACAGTAAATAACTTTGCGTTATTTAACCTCGGTAGTAAATTAATCAGTATGTTTTCAAATTATTGAGCTTACACGAGGTTGACGAAGATACTTATTTCGGCTAACGTTTCGACGTCTAAGCCTTCATCAGAGCCGATGGTCCACAGTTCGTGATCTTGCGAAATGACCATGTTTTCCATGTTTACAATGAGGCACAACCCGCCCACTTTTGTTTTCAGTGTGGAAAGTGGAAACCTAATACCAGGATTACAGTGGAAGAATGCTTAATGACTCTTCATTTAAGTTTGAAATTGAGGTTTAACTTGCACTACCTTATATTTTTGATGCTGTACTGGACCTATGCTCTTGTAGTGGAAGTCACTCCCATTAACTACCCTTGATTTTCCGCTAGATTTGTCTTGATATGACACGTGCCATCGTTTATTGCTCCATTGGAGCCATGTGTTTGTTTTTGGTTTTCCCTCATTGTTAGTGCCTTTAGCACAGTAGGAAGTGGAAGGTTTTTAAAGCAAAAACATGAAGCGGTGTGTTGGTTCGCTAGTGTGAGCTTCTTTACTCTACCTGTGTTCTTCATCTGTGTGTTTACTGTTGTGCTGAAGCAGATGTTTGATCAAATTTCATAATATTTATGACTAGCATTCGTTAATGCGTCATGTCAATCGTTCAGATGTCGTTCACTTCTATGTCAGCTTCAACTCTCGTATTTCGCTGCTTCCTGCTTTCACACCAACAGTTTACTGCCTCATCGTGGCTGGGACCTGTTCTTGGGTGCCGGGCTGCGATGTGCAGCGGGCGATGGATTTATCCCACCAGCGCGGTCTCCCACGCTGAGAAGAAGTCCGGTGTTTCCATCAGCAAGCCCCACTAAGAATAAACCAATACCAGGATCCACCACCATCCTGGTATCAAACTAGTCGCACGGTGGTAAATCTCCCTCCGACCCACAATAGCGACGACAGCCTGAGGTGGTAAGGACTTGGGGCAATCACTGGCTAGGCTGATGTCGGCACTCCAGGGAATCACAATGGCTAACCCAGCAGAACTCAAAAAAAATGGAGGTTAGGACGGGACCCGCACAGCCTGTTAAGACGGACCAACCAAGTAGCCAAGTATTTCGCTGTTTCACAAACTTAATAGCGCGTAGTAATTCTTCATATCATTTGCTGACAATAAGGAACTCTTCTGTTGCTCTTTGTCGTACGCATCTTCGTGTCTGCTGCTTTGTAAAAGCGCTTACTTTTAATGTCTACTTTTTTTCTGTGGAAAATAAAATCCCTAAGATGGAAAAATCTGGGGAAGGGGAAGCGAATCGAGCAGCGTACGAAAACTTTGGACACGACTAAATCCTTGGTCCCATGCGAATTTGTGTTCGTTACGCCGTTTTAAACTCCTTTGTTAAAGCCTGTTTTTTTTCTTTCAGGTTTAGTTCGTATATGACTCATAGCATTTCCACAGCGTTATGGAGGTTTCAACACAAAGAAAATCTTCGATATCATCGTTCCGTTGTTATTCACAGTGTCAGGCTGGATCCAGTGATGGTTTACAAGATGTCTATGATGATAACTACACTTTTCATACGAGTTTTATGGATTGCGGTAAATGATTTTATTATATCCAATGCATTTATGTACCTGCTTTACATACATACGAATGTATATATCTATATATGCACTATGTGTATTTATACATATGCGAATATCTACGCACGTCGATACAGGTGTATATGCATATTATTTGCATATATATATTATACATATGTTCATATATATGTATATACATACTGTACACATAAAAGGATAAAGCTCTCGATGTTGATCGATCCGTGAGGGTGCGCCATGCATTCGACTTTATTTAGCATCGTCGGAGGTGATCGAATACATGTCTGTCCTTCACAATGACTGGCGGTGGCCTACCGATATATCGATCCAATGCTGCTATCCTCCTAAACAAGTCTTGTACAATTTGCTGACCCGGCGGTATGGATGGCTTATTGAACCTGAGGCATCGGGATCGATCTCATGTGTATTGCTGG